TCTTCTTCTGGAACATCATCATAACTCTCCAAACCCCGAATTCCATCCTGAATTTCTTGCGACTCTATTTCCTTTAGAACCATTGGCCCCAATCTCTCATGTCGAGCACTAGAGCTTTCATGGGGCAGATGAGAAGGGCTGCTCGTCTTCTTTACTGCTCCATGACTAAATGCACGGGTTGTGCAGATACGCTGTGTAGCCACGCCCATCACTTGGTCTTATTTTCAGGGTAGGGCTTATATTGCACAAATGCTTAGAAATCCTGCTAGGGCTTATTTTATGGGTAGGTCTTATTTTCGGGGAAACACGGTATATAAATAGTTGTTATACTGTATTGTTTAGGGAATAATAACAATAAATAAAGTCTGTACTTGTTCAGTACAGATGCAATTTTTTTCAAATATTTTAAATCTGTAGTTACTTAAATCCACAGATATAAGGGGCCAACTGTTCCTTACACTGGGTAACTTATAAACAACCGAAATTTACTGTTGACAGCTGCAGATGCTGAGAAGTCTATGATCAAGGTGCCAGTAGATTCATTGTCTGGTGAGGACTGGTCTCATTCTTACTCAGCCTGGTCTCAAACTCCTGTCTTCAAGCCATCCTCCCACCTACGCCTCCCTAAGTGCTAGGATTACATGCCTGAGACCCAGTGCCTGGATGTATACTTGAAATTTGCTAAGAAAGTAGATCTTAAATGTTCTCAACACACATATACAGAAAGTAACTCTATGAGGTGACGAATGGGTTACTAGCTTGATTATGGTAATCATTTTACAATGTATACACATATGAAAGCATTACATTGGACACCTTAAATATATATAGTCGTCCCTCAGTATCCACATGTGATTGGTTCCAGGAACCTCAGCAGATTCCAAATCCAAGGATGCTCAAGTCTCTTATATAAAATAGCATATACACATCCTATCATATAACTTTAAATCATCTCTAGATTACTTATACCTAATACTATGTAAATGCTATGTAAACAGTTGCTATTTAATATTGTTTTGTTTCCTAAACTGTATTGCTTAGGAAATAATGACCAAAAAAGTCTGTGTTATGTTAAGCACAAACACAACCATTATAGGCCTACCTACATTTTCTAACAGTGGTTGGTTGAATCTGTGGATATGTGTAGATATGGAACCCACAGATACGAAGGGCTGACAGTACAATTGTGTATGTCAATTATACCTCGATAAAGCAAGGGGAGGGAAGAATCCAGGAATGAATGAAGGAATGAATGAATGAATGAACTATCTATTCAGGTGTCTCCTCTGAGGGGCATGGAGGGAGGTGGAGATAGGGCAGGGAGCCTTCCCTTCTTTTCCATCTCTATTTCTCCCAGCCTAGAGTCTTCTTTTCTTTTAGTATTCATAGTAAGATCTAATTTTCTATAATGGCAATCAATTGTGCCTTGAGATAAAGTAGCCTCCCATGGTCATTCAAGACGTCTTGGCCACGGCAGTGGCTCACGCCTGTAATCCTAGCACTCTGGGAGGCTGAGGCGGGAAGATCTCTTGAGCTCAGGAGTTTGAGACTAGCCTGAGCAAGAATGAGACCCTGTCTCTACCAAACAAGAAAAGGGGGAAAAAAACAACAGCCTGGTGTTGCCAGCATGCACCTGTAGTCCCAGCTACCTGAAAGGCTGAGGCAGAAGGATCCCTTAAGCCCAGGAGTTGGAGGTTGCAGTGAGCTACAATGACAGCACTGCACTCTACCCAGGGCAACAGAGCAAGACTCTGTCTCAATAAAAACAAACAAGGCAACAGAGCACCCCTCCTCACACACACAAAAAAAGACCTCTTTATTGAACCCCTGATTATAGAATCATGGGTAATTATATCTGCCCAATCAGATCTGTGAGTTATCACCTGACCATAGCTCTATGAATGCTTTTATTTGAATTTTTTTTCCAGAAGGAACACATTTCTCATGTAGAAATCTTAATAAATGTAAGTGGGCTCCATTTCTTGGCTTTGAGGTAATGAAAAATTAATTACCATACTTTACAAGTAATAGTTTCCACTCACAGCACTCCCTTAGAAGTAAATATATCATAAATAGTTACTATTATACCAATGGCTGGTAGATTGGGCAGCCTGTCGTCCATAAATGCTTTTTCAACAGACATGTTATTTCTTCTGGGGAACAAACAGATTTGTTTTAGATCAGAGAGTCAACTGACAGATGGCCTTTGTAAAAACACACCATTTGTATAAATAAATTATAGTTTCACTATGGTATTCTGCATTTGTGGATTTGGAAAATCAATGCCCCCATTCTCTAGAATGGGCCTAAACTGTAAAGAGCAATTTTGTTTAGGTGTGAGGTCACATTGCACAGATCTGCCAACACAGATGCTAAAGTCCAAATTCTCTAGATGCTTGTTGCCACTTCCCATCACAATTGTCACAAAGAACTCTGCCTGGAGGTAACAGGATGATCTCCCAGAGAGCTTAGTAACCGATCAGAGCAAGTCACCAACTGGCACACTCCCCTTAGCTCTGGGGTCCGTTTTTCATTAAAGTTAATGACACCACTTGCCTTATTTTCCTAACCACGACTTTGCATAACTGGTGCTTACAATGTATTTGTCTTAAAAACCTGAAACATTTCATTCTCTTTACAATATAGTTCATCAGTTAAATGCTAAATATTGGGTAGACTCCTTTAAAATCCAAACCAACCTTAATTCTGAGCCTACTGGAATCTCAGTCACTACTCATAAGGTATACACATGTAACTTACACATCAAATATGTCTGGATTTATATACAGATGTTTATACATAGGTATGCATCTATACATACAGATACCTACTTATGCAAATCCTTCTTCCAGAGCCAAAGGGTTAGGACTTAGTATCAAAAACAGCATATTTTTGTTACTGTTTGTAAAATTTTTCTTTTCTTTTCTTTTCTTTTTTTCTGTTAGAAGACTAAGATGTTTTAGCCAGATACTAAATATGGGCTTTGCTGGCATAATAACTCCCTGTGTGTCTTTTCTTTAAGGGCACTATTATCCTTCCATAAATGATTAAGATCCTAAAGTTATTAGTTCTGATCAAGGAAGTAAAAGTTTAACATTAATGATATTCATTATTCAAAATACCACAAGAAAGACTTTCCATGTTTCTAGATATAAAGTACTTTTGGAAGCTGTATTTGTCCTTTAGAATGGTGGGATACTATGTAGCTTGGTGCTTTGTCTGCACTGATAACCTCAGGCTCCCAAGTTGTTATTTAGAGTTATACCAGTTGGTGCCTTGACAGAATTAATACAGTGTCTAGAGTTTCCTAACTTACATCCAAATAAGTGCTTAAACCAGTGATTTCCATCTGATTCTATGGTATTCTCAGAGAATATCAGGTTACTTCAAAGGAGATCTGAATTCTCAAACAAAATTAATCTGGATATACAAATCCTACACACTTATACTCACATATGCCAGATATAAATATATACCTCTATGCACATAGTCTTTCTGGAAGAGAAAAAGTCCAGAAATGAATAAGGTAATTGCATATCAAGATCTTAGGAGGATAAAATCACAAATTATAATATGTGTCATAAACTGGATTAGAACTAATCATGGAAAATAAAAGCCCATTCAATTTATACAACATCATAAATTTGGATCATAAGAAAGAAAAAAATGTTTGGGGGAGTAAAATCAATGAAGCTATTTTTGGAATAGATGAATTACTAGAAGACCCAATAGAATATGAACCTGCTTGGATGGCTGATTTGTTTGATTCATTTTTTTCAATCTCTAAATCATGCTACATGCCTGTCTCTAAATGGAGAAGTACTTCATCCTGCATCTGAATAAAATTTTTACTAGAGATCCTTGTTGCTAATGGAGTCAACTCACAATCAATACATGTATTCATACACATTATGCACACATACAGGTCAAGGGTTATGAAAATGTTTTCAGTGCACTTGTAATCAACCAAACCTCCTGTAATTATGTTAGGTAGATAGCGAGGGATTCCAGGTCTCCTAGGGATGAAAGTGGGTGCCTTGCAATTTACCTCCCAAAAATGGGTGTTCAGAGAGGCTCATGGGAGACTCACATGTGCAGTAAGACTCAGGGGATATAACTCCCAGCTGTCCAATCAAAGTGGTTCCATGGTGGCATCTGAGCCACAGGGAGGTCTTCTATCCAGACACTATAAAACAAGACCCAGACCATAAGCAAGTTCTCTTTTTTTTGCTACAACAATGGGTCCAGTCGTTATCTGTGGTGTATGTATCTTGCTCTGTAACCTATATCTTGCTCTTGCTCTATAATCTTCTCTTTCTCTCCTCAATAAACCTCATTTTCGTGTTTGCCTCACTTTGGTGTGTCTGGTCCTTCTTCATCCATGAGCACACCAAGAATCGAGAACACAGAACTCGATTGCCAAACCCAGCAATTAGGCTATTTGCTGACTCTTTGAGGATACCCATTGGGAGAGGCCCAAGGGGCCCCACTGGACTCATCATGTGACTGAGTGCAATATTCCTTTGCTTAAAGCAAATGCACTTCCCCACTGTCAGATTAAGACAGTGACTAAGCACATGAACAAACCACTTCCTAACTCCATAACTGTGAGCAAGTTCTCATCCACTCGCTGCCTCAGTCGCTCCATCTGTGAAAAGGAGAAAATAGTACTTACCCCATAGAATTATTATGAGGATTAAATGAGTTAATAAGGATAAAATGCTTAGTACAGTGGATGTAGTAAGCATTCTAAAAGTGTAAGCTCTTATTATTTATTATTCAACTTGTCAGAGGTTCCCAGAGCTGGAGGCCACTGCTGAACTTAAGATTACCGATGAACTTATAATCATGTTGACTATTTTCAATGTATTTTAAATTTATACAATACTATATCAAATTATCTATGTGTTAAATCTTTGTGTTAAATGTTCAGTACTAAACATACATAACTTGACCAGATCTGCACATTAAGTGGCAAATTTGTCCCCTTATCCATCCTGAAAAGTTTGGACTTGGTGGAAACTGCGTTGGCTGGGTGTCCAGAAATGTACTGGAAGCTCTACCACTACCTACCTGCGAGGCCTTGGCTGAGTCACCTGACCCACACAAGCACCAGACTTCTTCCTAGAACCTAAAGGGTTTGGACTAGGTGAACGCCGTGATCCCTTCTATTCTAAGAACCAGAGTATTATGAAGCTGACCTCCCCCTTGATTTTCTGGATTGTGACAGCATCATCTGTCTGAAGAAAACCAACCAGGACGAAATGAGAGAATACTGACTAGTCACTTTCCTAGACTCAGCTTTTCTCGGGATAGCACATAACAAAATGCTAGGATGAAACAAATTACATAAAACTCACATAAAAATGGCCATGTATACCACTTTTGTGGGGAAATTACAGGGAGAATGTGAACCTAATATCTACTGATGAATTATTCAACTCTGTTTCAGTCACCCTCGCTGACCGGGTGACAGAGGAGGGGTGTTTTTCAAGTATTCCCAGAAGGCTCTTGAACTCTCTTGAATGTTGGCCTGAAGGGTGTTTCTGGTGAAGAATGGGCACCAGAATGTGTAAGAAGGGAGACAGGCACTTCCTCTAGGAATGGGAAAAGACACCATTATGGGATGCCCCAGGGGATCATTTGAAACCCTTTAAATCCATGTCTGGGGAAATGAGGAATTCGTCCTGACTGGATTTCTGACCTGGAAAGAACCTTCCAAGACAAAGAACAGTGAGGTCATACCCAGAAAGCATAAAGGGCTTAGGAAGAAGAGTGAAGGACATCCCAACACACTGAAACTATTGAGTCCAGAAGAGTTTGAAAAGCCACGTGATATTTAAACAGAGCTTTATTTATACACATGTATGATTTGGGGGAAGTCAGAGAGAATGATGGCTAATTTCTCAGCAAACACATTGTTTAAAATGCACATCATGTTCTAAACCTAAAGCGCTATCTATGAATGCCGGCTATAATAGCCATGATTAACTGGCATAGATCCAGAGGGCAGGAGGCATTTGGGTTCTTCCCAATCCGGCAATCGGAGGTTTTCAGTCACCCCAAAGTCCCCATCGTCTAAACAGCTACAAGTTTATAGCAGCAAATACACACAATATTACCAAACATAACAGCTTTGGAAAACATCCATTTGGCCCATCCATGCTGGAGAGAATTATGCTTTCGTGGGTTTCTCTTTTTCGAAGTGATCAAAATGTTGCCCTTCACAATCCTTTGACTCATCAAGGAGAAATCAGAGGAAACAAGGATGGTCCATAGCAAGTTAGCATTTCCCACTGAAATAAACAAATTCCTTTGACTCCCCTCCAGCCATGGAGCCCTTGCCAACATCTCACAGTACAAAAGAGAGACTGGCTTCCAGCAGGAATGGAGCAACTGCTAATTCCCATTATGAGACCTGATATTGTCCACCACATCCCCCACAAAAAAAAAAAAATTGTCTTCTAGAAACTAATAAAAATTGGTCCTTAAAACAATAGCCTCGTGCTAATGTAAATACCCACTGGGATATTACAAATTAACACACTCCAAAGCAACCCAATTAAAAATTATGCCTATGCACACAGTCTCACCCACCAAAAGATACATCTGCTACTCCAAATATCATGCAACACTGGATTCTAAATTGGTCTTAATTTATAAAAAGCCGACAGGCATGGGTATAAATTCTCAGTCCTTGTGGCCGTGACCGCCCTATGCTATCTTCCTCCCAGTGATGGACACAAGCGTTGATGTAGTTGCTATTATTTAAGGACACAAGAACATTGAAAGTGGCATTTTTCCGCTTTCACCATCTACGACTCTGCCCAGAACTGCCAGATGAACGCCCACGCCACCTTCTCCCACCAAAGGTGGATCCGGCTAACAGGAGGCTCTGGGTGGTGACCACAGCGCCCGCGTGCCCAGCTCTGGGGAGAGCCTCCCCGTAGCGAGCGGCCCCCCGCGCACCCGACAGACCCGCCAACTGCGCGGAGGCCGCGCGGCTTCGTCGTTCATGCTCCTGAAGGACAATAGCTCATCAAGCCCCACCGAAAGCCCCGGACCCGTCGCGGAGCCTGGGCTGGCGGGGGATGAGGCTGAGCGACTCCTCCTAGAGGTGGTTATGTGGAGAAGGAGCAATCCCTTCTCCCTCCTCCTCCTCCCCCCGCTACTATCCGCGGCCCAGGGAACTGCCGCTTGCCGCCATTGACACGCACAGATAGAACCCAAAGAAAGGCAAAGAGTCCTGCCCGGCACCGGCGCCGCGCGGGCCGAACCTGCGCCGAGGAGGGGCGCGCGGAGGGCACCGGGCGCCCGGAGCAGGCGGCGCAGCACCAGGTGAGCCCGCCATGGCGATGGCATTATTGTTTAGGGGCTCCGGGCTCTGGAAACAAAACGCGCCGCCGGGGCAGTGCAGGGGCCGGAGAGAACCTCCCCTGCCTCTTCCCGGAGCCCCTGCGGGCGCACCCCCGAGAGCCGGCCCATCCCCTGCAAGAAAAAAATTAATACATCAAGCCGCCCAACTTGCTCCTCCAGGAATAAAGGGGGGCTTGGTAAAAGAGCGGTAAAATTCCCGCGGCCGGCGAGGGGCCGGGGCATCTGGGGCAGTGAGGGAGGGAGGAAGCAGGGATGCGGGGTCCAGCGGCGGGCCCGGGCGAGGCTGGACCCTCAGGAAGCGCAGGGCTCCTGGGGATGCGGAGTTTGGGGCGCAGAGGAGGGAGGGGGAGGCGCCCGGCCACCGAGGGGGACTGGGCGGGGGCGGGGGCCGAGGGAGCCGGGGCAGGGCCGCTCGGGGGCCTGCTAGGGTGCCCGGTGGGCGCCGGCGGCTCCGGGCTGACAATGGAGGGGCGCGGAGGGAAGAGACCGGGGTCCGGGGGCGGGCCGCGCCGAGGAAGGTCAGGCCGGGGACGCCGGGCGGCGGAGGGAGGGCCGGGGCTGCCGCGCGGCCACCTGAGCGTCGCCGGCGGGCGTGCGCCCCGGGCCGGCGCGGAGGAGGGCGCGGGGCCGGGCACTCCCCTCCGGTTCCCTTTCCGGGGCGCCCGGTGCCGACGCGCGCTGCGCTTTCGCTGGCAAATGGCGGACCCTCCGCGGCTCGCCCGGGCAGCCCGGCTTCCCGCTTTGCGCGGGAAAATAATAATAATGATAATAATGATGAAAAAGAGAATAAAAGTAAAGTGGCTGCGGCGCAGGAAAGGGCTGTGCCGGGCGCCGGGCGCGGTGCGTGTCGCGCGCGGGGCGCGGCGGGCGGGGACCAGCCCTGCCTCCCCCGCTCCCAGCCCGCGATCCGCGCACCCTGGCCCGGCCTCGCCAGCCTCCCACTTCGCCCCCGTGGGTGTCCTCCCCCGCCTTTCCTCCTGGGGGCGCCCTCAGCTCCTGCCCTCTTTGTTCCTCACAACAATGGCCAAAGGGGCATTGGTCCCCCAGGGCCAAAGGACCCTCCTCCTCCAGGAGTTTCCTGGCGAGTGAAATGGGCTACCGTGGGCCTGATATAGGCCTGGTTATTGGCGGGTTTTTTTTCGCATCGGCCCCAGGATGGGGTGAAGGGATGAAGAAATGGGCTGAGAAACCAAAGGCCCGTCCCTGAGTGTTTGAGGGGGTGCAACGGGAACCCCGGCTCCGCAGCCCTGTTTGTGAGGGCAGTTCCCGTGTTACCACAGCGCTGGGGAACTTGAGGCGTCGGTCCAGACTCTGTCCTGCTCAGGGGAATTCAAAACAAGGACCCAGTTCTCAGTCCCACAGACCCCAGGACCCCCAAGGGGCCATCAATACACCGTGGCGAATGGTTTTCTCATTTGTGTTTGTTTTGAAATGCAATTGTACCCTCACTGGGCTGCACAGTTGCTACTGAAACGGTTCAATAGGTGAGAGAAAAAGAAAACATTATTAAGAGCGAGAGTGTGTCTTCATTTATGTTGTTTTGAAATACAGACTAAGCTACACGAAATTCTCAATTTGTTTTAAAACTCTTCTTATTTTCAAACCAAAAGTTCAGAGCTCCAAGATTTGGAACCATGCTGGTGATTTTTAGAATTGCTTTAGCCCGAGATTATCATATAAATAAATATAGGCACTGCCCGGTGGAACCGTTTATCTTGAATAGCATAATTCACATCTTTAAAACGCCCCTTTCCTGTATCCAGAGTTCCTTTTAAAATATGTCCAATTTTCCTCTCCTCTGGTTTTCCTACCGTGTCACAGTTCCACCTCACCTGGATCCATTCATAGCCAGACTTTATACATTACTGATGGTTTCCTCTATTTCAAAACTCTATGAAATAATTTACCTCCTTGGATCCAGAATGTCCCAAAGATTCTGACCCTATTCCCTCTCCATTCCATCCTCTGTCTTGTTCCCAGGGTTTTTGAGGCGCCTGTGGTCTGCTGTTTCCCAGTGGGTGGGACACCCTGCTAGCTATTGTTTGAGGCAACCTCATCTGTTTTCATTGCCTCCTGCCAGCAAAGCAGGAGGTGAACCCTGTCTTAGGCAACTTAAAATGAAAGATATCTTTATAACTTGTTCAGGGGAGGGATGTGCAGAAATTCAACCAACTTTCTTAAGAATGTCTTTTATTCTTAAGAAATAACCTCAAAGTTAGATAGAGTCTTGGTAGATGCTTTTGAAAAGTGTGTATTGCGCAGAGATGAGCACAGAATTTGTGGTCAGAGACCATTCAACGAACATGTACTGAGCACCAATTCTTAAACACCTCTGGATGGGGAAAGAAATGAAAGAAAATATGAAGAGGTCATGGGCCCTGCTCTCATAGAACTTACAGCCCCTAAGCTTGGGAGAGAAAATATAAATGCAGGTAAAACAAGGTAAAAAAGTTATTTTGGCAAGCTAGTGGGAAAATAGGTACTTTAATATACTGCTGACAGGTGTGCGCATTGATATAAGCAATTTGGAAGGCAGTTTGGCACTATTAAATTAATAATGTACACATTCTGTGACTGAGCATTCCATTTCCTGGTACATAGCCTAAAAATGTAGGCATACACGAGCTCAGCATGTATAATGATGTTTATTGCAGAGTTTTAGTAGTTGTGAAATTGGAAACAACCTAACAACTGTCAATAGCAAGTTGCTAAACAACTCGGGTACATCTATCCCCTGGAATATTAGGCAGCAGTTAAAAAGAATGAAGCAAATCTATATATACTGAGACAGAACAAGATCACCAAAATATACCATTAATGAAAAAAGCAAATTGCATAACAGTACATACTATATGGTACTATAGATATAAAAACAAAATAAAGCTATAAATCTCTACAAGAAAAATGCATACATAAATGGATAGAAAATATGTAGAAGAAGATACCTACTAAAAGAGACAAGAATTGGAGGAATTGTCAAGAAGGGCTTGAGTCATATCATTATTCATACCCATCTGTAACCATTGTTACAATATTTGGAATTTTATAATTTGAATTAATTATATATTGATTGGATAACTAAATGCAACTAGTAATTTAAAGGTGACTGATAATGTATAATGAAAGTCACAAATAAAATGCTTCAACAATTTTTAAAGAGAGAAGAGAATTTTAGACTGGAAGAGAGGAAATTGGGCTAGGCTTCCTAGACAGTGTCACGGGATTTGGATGGGGAAGGGGCAAAGGAACAAGGCAGGTGGGAAGAAGCTTGATGCAGATGCTGCATGACTATGGAAAGTGCCTTGCAAGGCTGAGGGCCCTGGCCTGCCCTGCTAAGATTCAGGTTGAAGGGTAAACTAGAAGAATGCTCAGAATTTCTTTCTTTCATTGCTATGATTCTGTGACTAACTTAAAGTATTATAGATATGTAGAAGAAAGAAAAAAAATTAGCCAATAGAGAAGTATATGAATTCTAATATGGTATTGAAAGATGGTATTTTAAAAAAGGAATGTAGTGAAAGCTTGAAGGTGGGGATTTTTTTTTCCTCCTGAGTACACACTGGGATGTATATTGGGAATTAGATTGGAGAGAAAAATAAATATTTGAGAAGATATTTCATTTCCCAAAAAACCCACAAAGGGAACCTAAAAATGCTTTTGAAACAAAATATTTAAGACTGGTTTCATTTACTCATTCACTCACTTAAGGAATTTTTATTGAACGTCAACTGTGTACCTAACAGTCTGCTAGGTGCCTTTGGGGCTGAAACTCGCAACAGCGTATAGGAAAAACAGCCCAGACCAGGGTTCCAGAAATTGAGATAAGAGGGCTGGTTCTAGGGCGAGTCTCACACAGATTGTGTGGCTATGGACAAGTCATTCAATGACCACTCCCCCTTCCAAGACACACCTTTCATTGTGGCAAAAATTAGGAGAGGGGGTGTAAAATGATTGATCACTCAAGTCCCTTTCAGTCCTAGATTATAATTTTGTGAAATCCTATGATCCCAACATTGCAGTGATTGTGAATTCCCAGGAAGATGGAATTTGGAGAGAACAGGATAAGACTGGTGGGGGAGGGGGGAGAATGGTCCAAAAGTGCCCAGCCTTGGGAAAAACAAAAGCATTCGCTGTCATGAGAATTCTCAGTAGATCATGTGGCTGTCTGTGTTTTCCCAGAGTTCAAATTTCATTACCACCCCTTTACCCTAGCTCCTCGATCAACCAGGAAAGTGGAAAGACACTGCTGAGTTTTAAGCCTACATTATCATACACACAACTTCAAGCACTATAATATTATAGTAGTTGATTTTGCAACAGAGGGACAAATAGAAATATGCCCAAGAAAATGTTAGGCTGCATTCTGCAAAAATAGTTCTCTAGAATGGTTTTTCTTATGGAAATAAATCATAATAGTTAATGTTTATTAAGCGTCTATTATCTGCCAGGTCTTGTTCTAAGCACTTTTTATATATTAACTCATTTAATTCTGACAACAGCCGATAGGTAGGTATTATTATCATACCCATCTCACAGAAAAGAAAAGAGAGGTTAAGAATGTGCCCAGAGTCACCGCAGGAAGGACTGCAGCCCTGGCAGCCTGACTACGTACATGCTTATGTCCACGTGATGAAAACAAGGAGCTACCAGCATTTCAGTGATTCTCAGACTGTTCATTTTAATATTAGTGTATATGAATTTTTATTTTCAAAACTCCTTATTTACATCACTATTTTATCTGTGTATGACAAACGAAAGATAAAGAATATCTGATTGAGCCACATAACACTGTACTTGAAACCGTCTTGTCACAAAGTATTAAATAAGATGGATTTGGTGGTTGCTCGGAAGCCCGTACTGTTCATTTATCCATCTCACCATCCATCATACTTTGCCCAATTTATTTGACTGGCATTGCCAATTTGGACTTGGAATGGAGTAAGTAATTCAAGTCAAACTTC